ACTGCACCAGTAATCTTCGGAAAAACTGATGTCAGAGTTACCGAAACGAGTGGTTCTGAGGTACTGCTCTAGGGTTTGGCTTACGAGCCGTTTTTGAAGTGAAGCAACATGGTTCACTGGCTGTGGATGTTCTGCAGGCAGCTGTGGAGCCCTGTGTGAAGAGGGAAGGTGCTGGGATGATGCCGTGAGAGGTTTTCTGTGCAGTCCCTCCACTTTCCCTCTTTCCTCTCCCAAAATGCGTGCGTGCCCAGGAAGTTCTGCCTCTAGATGTCTCTTGTGAAATGTTTTCCCTCGAGTAAAGATTTGGAGAACACATAAAAAGCAAAATGGATGCTTTTAAGGTTTTGTTGACAGCTCTTTTTTTCTGTCAGCATATAGAGAAACTGTTTAATAAAAAAAAATAATATGATTATTTGGTGAAACTTAATAGAAGTTCTGAAACTCCGTTAAAAACATCTCTGCAATAAGGATAACAACTTCTTATGCCAAGAAATGTGCTTGTGTGTGTTAGTGTGTGATTTGTATTATTGAAGCTGCCCTCAAGATAATCTTAAAATAAGTCGATATTTATTTTACAGATGCATTTTGCACTTAAAATATTTATTTAATCTTTGCAGACTTGGTAAGGTGAGCTTTTTTGAATGCTTTTAACTTACATTTTCTTTATTACACTGTCATTCTTCCAAGAATGCTTCTCCACATCTTCAATTTAAATGACAGAATTCCTATTATGTGAGCCAAAAGGTGTCAGGTGACAAATTACACATGTTTTGCTGAATTGATTGCAATTGGGATGCTTCTTCTTTGGAATTAATAGCTTGGTTGTGTTTGTGGTTCTTCATTTTAAGGCAGTACCAGTATGTCATATAACTTACATTGCGTTTCACCACTTAGAATATGCAGCCTAACACTGTGAGTTTTCATTAGGTTCTGTGAAAAGCCAGATGTCTGAAAGCTTGATTTAATAAGAAGTACAGTCACTGAACCAGCTTCTGATATGACTCAGGATCATGACTGGAAAACAACTTGCAAGCTTTCGGTTGCATGACTCCGCTAAGCCTACGAGTCAGGGTGAGAAAGAAAAAGTTTCCATATCCTTGGCAATTGTGAGAACTAACAAGACCAATAAATACAGTACACTGCTAGCCTGTCTTCTGGGCAGCTGCTGCATCTCGCCAGCTGTCCAGATTCTGCGTGTCATGAGTCTTCCCGCCTCTGTTGGTGAGAGTAGCAGGCTCTTCTGCACTGTTAAACACTCAGTCTCTCATTCTCCTGCCTACTAGCTTTAAATCTAGGATTTCCACGACAGATACCTAATTTGAGAGTGATCTCCATGTAGAACAACCTTCTGTGCAGTTTTCCTTAGTGGCTTGAGCAGACAGATTAGGGCCATCGTGTTCTCACACTTGATACTGTTTGCTCTCCCTTGAATGTGTTTCAGCATCTTGAGTTCTTGTGTTGTGGTACCTGTCTGTGTCGTTCCTCTGAAGAATCTGAAATGAGCTTATGCTGTCGCATTTCGGTAGTTCTAGTAGGAATAAAAGCCGAGTGAATGGCAAACTATGTGAGTATAGATTAACTTGGGATAAAGGCTGAAATGAATAAATATATCTGCTTGTGTTCCTTGGAGTCTGTCTTTCAAGCTACATATTTAAAATGCCCTACCTAAGAAACCAGCCTTAACATTAGAGCTTTTGCACCATCTCTTATGAAAGAATGGCTCCACGGGAGACAGATTCTTAAGAACTGCAGTTCCTTCTCACGTTTCTTACTTGGCACAGGATATTCCATACCGATAAGATGATCAATTCATTCCTCATTTCCTTCTTTTAGAATGTTGCTGCAAGATCTCTCTGGGAGATCTGTATTAGTGGAAAAAATACCACCTCAGTGCTGTGCCAGGTTTTTCATTTGTTTGCTTGTTTGTTTGTTTGTGTTATTGCTGAGAAACTAGCACTATCAATATGATTTTCCAGTTACCTCAAAAAAATACTTCATGGATTGTGCAATGTCTGCAGGTGGCCGTGTGGTATATACCAGGCACGCGTTTTCCCTTGAAGACACGTGAATTCTCGTTCCCTTACTATGAAGTGGGTTAATATGGGAGTACACCTGTCACTAGCAGTACCTGACCTGACTGAAGGCCTTAAGGAATTGTCCATATTTAAAGACAGATGCTGTGAAAATCACGAGTACAGTTTCAGACTTCTTTACATAAGAATTGCAGAAGAACAGTAAAGGACCAATAGGCATAAATGTTCTGAACAGAAATTTCCCCTATGTCCTCTGCCCATCACAGGCTTTTTTGGTCCCTAGATTGCGCTTTTTATGTAGGAAGGAAGAATATTAAAACTTTTTTGGACATTGTAATATATAAACAGATTTAGCCTAGTGACTCTGTCCTCCTGACTTCCAGCAGAGGAAGGCTTACTAAAAAAATTAAATCTAATTTGACTGAAAAGCTTGTTTCTTTGGTGTGCCTCTTAAATATTTGCAAGAGAAGTCAGACCATCTTGTCTGTCAGCGTTTCTGTGATGTATTCAGAAATTTAAAACCTCTCACAACAGAGAATAGGAACAAATGGTTCTTTCACTTTCGAGTTATTTGACATGAGTTATGACCAGGAGGTGTTAATAGGCTTTTTTTTTTTTTTCATTTGTTGAGGTGTGACTTGGGTTGGTTTGATTGTTTTTGTTAAGAAATTGAGTAAATTTTACTTACAGAAGGTTAAAAATTAATACTTGTATTTGAAACAAAGTGTGATCTAGGAGAACTGAGATCTTTTTCAGCTGTTTCTACTGGTGGCTTTCATTCCTGCCAAATGCTCTAGGATCTCATTTGAAGAAAGACGGCTGTTTGTTTTGTAAACTCAGTGTCATTTGGGATAAACAAATACAAATGTTTAAGGTACATCCAGAACTTTCAAAAGATTTTCCTAGTGAAAATTATTTGGAAAGTGATCAAATGGATCAAACTGGAAATTGAAAAGTTAAACATTTAATGCACGTTTGTTTGATCCAGTCTTTTTGGTCGTTGGCCGGCTGTTAACCGGGCAGGGGTTGTGGTGGTGCAGGGCTTCTAGTGGTGCGGTTCTGCCGGGTGCTGGCCCCGCCACCTCCAGGCAGAGAGACTTCATTTCTTTGCTTGTGACTTTCCTTGGGAGCTGCAGGGAAAGCAGCGTAGCCTCTGACTCAAAACTTGAATGGAGATGGAGCCTTTCACCGTGCAGCACTTGTAGAGCGACAGAATTTGAAGCTCGTGGCGAGCAGTATGCCAACATCATGTCTGTATCGTGGTTCTGATTGTGTCATAATCGAAGGCGCTGATGCTGTCGTGTTCCCCAAGATACCCGTCCTGTGCTTTGGCCAGCCCTGCTGTGTCTTGTCCTGCTCCTGTCCCTGAGCCTGCTGTAGCCTTTGTATGGGCTTTACCCTCCAGCTGTGGGTAGGTGGAAGGATAGAGGATGTCTGTCTGTCTGTCTGTCTGAAGCAGTAGAGCAGAGAACTATAGAATGGGTAGGACTTAGGGGCCTGGGGAATACGGTGGAGGCGGCTGACTGCTGTAACCGGACATCTAGTACGCTGAGGAGAAGAGTCATCTTAGGACTGTCTTGTATATATGATAATGAGTAGAATAAGAAGATGCTGCCGCTTGCAGCTTCATAAAAGCCTGCTGCTCTATGTTAAAAATAATTAATAATGTCATGCCACTTGTTGGAATATATCTATCTGTGTACTCTTAAGTCAATTCATGACTGGAATTCGTATTTCCTGACTAATGCTCCTGCTCAGTGGGTGTGAAAGTGAATGCCTTTTTTATAAACAGATTTGACCTCTCTGTAGTCTTCATTTGACACATATCTTTAGCCAGAATGTTGCTTTTGCATAGAATCATAGAATAATTCGGGTTGGAAGGGAACTTTAAAGGTCATCTAGCCCAACCCCACTGCAATAAGGAGAGACATATTCAACTAGATCAGGTTGTTCAGAGCCCCATCCAACCTGACCTTGAATGTTTCCAGGGATGGAGCATCTACAGCCCCTCTGGCCAGACCAGTTCCAGTGGTTCACCACCCTCACTGTAAAACGTTTCTTCCTTACATCTAGTCTGAATCTCCCCTCTTTTAGTTTAAAATCATTACCCCTTGTCCTGTAGCAACAGGCCCTACTAAAAAGTTTGTCCTTATCTTAGGAGAATAACTCCCCTTTAAATATTTAAAAGCTACAATAAGGTCTCCCCAGAGCCTTCTTTTCTCCTTCTCTATGAAGAGCCCGGCTCTCTCAGCCTGTCCTCATAGGGAAGGTGCTCCAGTCCCGTGAGCATCATTGTGGCCTCCTCTGGACCCGCTCAAGCACGTCCAAGGACTTTTTACACTGGGGGTCCCAGAGCTGAGCACAGAACTTCAGGTGGGGTCTCAGGAGGGCAGAGTAGAGGGGGAGAATCATCTCCCTTGACCTGCAGGTCATGTTTCTTTTGATGCAGTGCAGTTTTCTCTCTCTTGTGGATGTTAAGATGTTCCAGCAGCAACAGTATGCCCCGGGGTAGCAGCAGTGGAAGGGCACTTAAAAGACAAGGAAGTAGTAAAAATAGGACCAATATGAAAAAGGCATTTGTAAAAGACAGTAAAAATGGAAAACAGGAACGGAGTAAAAAGGGCACACAGGAATAAAACACAGTTTTCTAAGGAATGAGGAGGAATTAGTTATTGTTTAATTACCAGAATTTTGCCAGTAATCAGAGGATGCTTTGACTTGAAACTTTTTATTTGAAAGTGTTCATTTGTGTGCATGTGCATGTGTGTGAGAGGAGAATCTTTTTGTGTTGAACCAAGATAGCCAACGTTTTGCTTTTGTTCAATTTTAAGAGTGTGTGTGTGTGTGTACGTTGAGTGCTGACTGAGCTCTTATAAAATGTTTTTAAGTAAAAAAAAAAATGAAGCAAGAGCACCAATTGTAGATGTTTACTATTAAAACTTTCTTTGTAGGTTATTGCACTTAAGAATGAACATTGAAGACAAGCTGGGAGGATTATTTCTTAAATGTGGTGGCATAGACCAAATGCAGTCATCCAGGGCTATGGTAGGGATGGGTGCAGTATCTGACCAGTCTGGAGTATCGGGAGAACGGCAAGAGGCAGTGCTTCAAGATCGGACTATGGCGCACCAAGAAATTCTTGCAACAGATGAAGTGTTACAGGAAAGTGAACTTCGGCAGCAAGAGATGATTTCACATGATGAACTCATGGTCCATGAGGAGACGGTAAAAAATGATGATGACATGGATACGCAAGATAGACTTCCTCAAGGGCTGCAGTATGCTGTTAATGTCCCTGTAAGCAATTTCTTTGTGAAATATTGGAGAAATTACTAGGAAGCTTGATCTGGTAGTCTAATCCTACTCTGGCAAGAACCTATTTATTGCTTGTTTGGATTTTGATTATCAAAATATTTACGAATGGATACTATTTATGAAAATGTCATTTGCCTCTGGCTGAGGGTAGATTTTGCCAATTAAGTATAATCTTTAAGTATCTGCTTTATAAATACTTTATAAGCAGGCTATTACCATAGAATTAATGCGTTAAAATGTGCTCTTTTAAATATATTTAATGTTCAAGGGTAACTACGAACCAGAATAAATAGCGTTATTAAAAGGTGCATACTGTTTATGCTGTTCATAGCACTATTTAGTTTCTTTTGCTATAGGAAGCATCTTGTATATTTTCCAAATATGTGGACGCTTATCAGTTGCATTCACACTGCAGGTTGGACCGTGACACTTCATACATGACCATAAATATGCCCCTCCTCGATATCTAATAGAAGGCGTACCTCAGCTTTCCCAGAGAGAATAGAGCTGACTTCCTTTTGCAAACAGAGCATCTGTCTGTAATGCAGCACATCATCACTGTTCAAACATAATTACCAGGACTTTAAAAGCAGATAGCCTTATACACGAAGAATAACCTTCAGAAAGGTAGCATTGTCAAAACACTACTCTGTTAGCTGGAGAACAGGTGGTTCAGGTGTTAGAAGAAAATGTAAGAGTATCATGCTCTTTATTAAAGTTTACATTAGATCAAGAAATATTTTTTGAAAAAAAAAAAAACCTTCATTAGTGCTGGTCTTTTTTTTTTTTCCTTAAAAAATACTTCTGTCTTAAATATATAATAAACTATTCTGTTAAATCTTGCATTGACAACAACATGGATTAAAGCAAAATAGGTATGAGAAACTGAATGGTTTTACAGATGGAAGTGATTTTAATATAAGAACTGATCTCAAAAATCACCACAGGTCAGAAGGAAGAAAGACCTTGGGAGACGAATGAAAGGATCCATCAAAATGTCACTGAAATTAACTGTGCCCTTTTCATTTAAGAGACTTATTATTACTTTCACTTAAATTTCTGAAAGAATGAAGCCACAAGATAATTCCCTTAGAAAAGGTTTTCTGTTTCAGCAGTTTGTCATCTTCTAAAATTGAAAAATTGCTTTTCTGTAGTGAGAACCTTACCTGAAACTGGCACTTGGTATCTTAACAGATCAGTGTAAAGCAAGAAATTACCTTTACTGATGCATCTGAACAACAGAAACGAGACAAAAAACAAATACGAGAGCCAGTAGATTTGCAGAAAAAGAAGAAAAGAAAACAGCGTTCACCAGCAAAAGTAAGACATTGATTTGGCAAAACCAAGATTAAAAGAACCTGAAGATTTGGTTGACTATGACTAATTTCATTAGCATTTGAAAGTAGTTAGGCTGGAAATTGTTTGTTTGCTCAGTGAAGATGCAGTTCTGAAGTTCACCAGAGACCCAAACCAGAACCTGATATAACAGTGTTTTTCTTTGAACTCTTTTTAGCAACATGAACCCTTGACATACTTTAACATCTGTCTCTTCAGGCAGTTCTCTCTCCAAATATTTTTTTTAAAATTATGAGTCAGTAGCTTTGTAGACAATTTATAAATCATTACTATGTATCTATCTAATAATAGTTGTGCTTTTCTGTGAGCCTGATAATTTTATATGCTTCATGCATAGTAGTGAAAAGTTATTAAAAAGAAATCTAAAATGGTAGTTTTGAAAATTCTAAAAAGTTTACTAATATATATAAAACAATTTACCAGTAGGGAATATTCCTGTGGTCATAATCATCTTCATATATGTATTTATTTATATCAAAAGATTCTTACCATAGCTGCTGGTTTGTTACTTCAAAATTTGTTTTGTAGATCCATTCATGAAGAGCATGTATCCCTGTATGTCTGAAAACAATTTTCTTCTATTGAGACGCACTTCAGATAAAACCAGAATCATTTCACCTCATGAGGTAGCAGCATTATATCTTCTAGTAATTGCCCCAATCAGTATTAATCTTCAGACTTAAAATAGAATATATATAGGCAGCTCTGATAGGCAAAAATCTGTTATGTGTTATCACACAGCAGCATTAAAATCCACCTGCTCTGAAATGAGTCCAGACTGTGTATGTATTGAAGGAAAACTCACCCTAGGACCAAGAGAAGCTTCAAAGCCTCCTTTTTGTTGGCCTGGGAGTGGAACCCCTCAGTCCTCCTCAAAGCACTGACAAATTAGGTTGCCCCCGTAGCACTTGTGGAAAAAGGAGAAATCGTTTCAGATTGGGTGTAGAAGCAAGTTCCAAATCCTGTGCATCAAGATACTTCTCCCTTTGATAGAAAAAAGGAGATCTAGGTTGGGTTCGTCCACAGATCACTTCCATGGAAGCATGGCAAGGTAGGAGAGGCATGTGTCCCTCTTTCTACAGACATGTCCTTGCATGCTTCCTTTTTATCTCCCAGCCTGTCAGTGTTAGTCTTTTGAGATGACAAAGGACTGAAAAATGATCAGGAGAATTGTTAAACAGGTTCTTTTACGGTCTCTCTTCCCTTTTTTCGAACTTGCCAGAGTAGAAAGGCAGAACGAAGCTGACGGACTGACACAAGTGAGAGCCCACGGCAGTTGAAGCTCATATTCCCAGAGTAATATGGGGTTGATTTTCCAGCCAAAGAGCAGCTGGGACTTTTACAAATGGAAGTCAATTAACATACCGAAACATTTTAAATTTTATTTTATATTAGTCATCATATAAATTAAATCATTAGCTTTTATGAATCCTATCTACTTTTCCCTTTTCCATGCACACAAACACACATGCACATGGGTACATGCGCGCACACACACACACATACAGACACACGCGCTTCTTTGTTGCTTTTATTAGAAAAACTGCGCTGACAAAGTTAACTTTCTGCATTTAAAAGGTGGTACAGTGGATAGATGCAGCAGAAGAGCCCAGGTTTAGAATAACTGTAAAATTACCTGTACTTTCTGCACAATTATTTTAGAATTTCAATAGAATTTATGAAAAGCATTACATAACATGTATTTAAATTTATTTTAAATAACCAGTCAGTGTTTCATTTGCTGTATGTTTTTACAGAACAGTGTTTTTATAAATGTCTATCTGTGACTTACTGAGGCTGTAACATACCAATCTTACAAACGTATGAATGTGCTTGTCCTTCAGAGTGAATGCACAAGAATTTGTTAGCTCGAGACTTTCACTCTTGCTGGGTCTTGATGCAGCAGAATTAAAAATTATTTAAGTAGATCCTACAATATTTGCTACTGTTGCAGAGGTACTATTTCAGTTATTGACTCTCGCTTTCTCATCACTGTCATTATCATAAAACGTAAAACATCGTAGCTAATCAAATTGTAGATGCGCTTTCCCAGCAGACTTTTAATTTTTGTTAATAACAAGGGGTTAAACTGTTTTATTTCAAGTTGCTTAAGCTCTTTATAGTTCTGTTTCCAGTTAAGTAAGAGTTTTTGGAAATGTAATTTGTTTACTGGTTTTCTTATTCTCTTGCCAGAGATAGTAGAGAGCTTGGGTATTATTTTTTGTTTGTTTGTTTTTTTCTTTTTGACAAATTACAGAAAACCTGTGGTCAGTTTTATTGATTAAGATAGATATGGTGCAGTTCCTTCATTAAAGTTTTTTCACCTATATATGAAAATAGCGGCTTTGCTTGACAGGAAAGCAACTGAGTGTGGCAAGTTGATTTTGTCAAGCAGATGCTCTAATATGTATACTGAGTGAACAATACTTTATTGAGTGAAAAATTTGAAAGGGGAGAAGAATAATACTATTTTCTTGGTTGTTTGGCTTTGGGGTTTTGTATTTTTTAAAATCTAATCTTGCCTCCTAGACTATTGGTATTACAGAGATGTAGATAATTTATATGACTATCCTGGATAAGTTTTAATACCTTGTAGCAACCACTTACAGTTGTGATTTGAAAAAAAAAAAGATTATAACTTTTCATTTTTGCCTTAGAATATGATTATCCATGGTTCAGTGCCCAGAGGTGCTTTGGTTACTTTGCCTCCTTTCCAACAGACGGACAAAGTAAACAGTAGCATATAAAGTGACTCAGCTGTGAGTAGGGGAGCTCTAAGCTGGTTTTCCATGAGCTGCTTTTGTCTCCGTCCTGTTGAAATATTTCTTAATACACGAGACACAAGTTGGATTGGACTGCAATTGGAAATGTATACTAAAAGCCTAACACATAGCTTTGTAGAAATTAGCATTGTTTTACCTGAAATATTTAAATTTCCTGCATCGAAAAAATTAATGTTTTTTTTTGTAGTTAATAAGACATCTTTAGAGGGTAGTGTGAGAACAAATTTTACTCTTTTTAAAATAGATCCTTACAATAAATGAGGATGGATCACTTGGTCTGAAAACCCACAAATCTCATGTTTGTGAGCATTGCAATGCTGCCTTTAGAACCAACTACCATTTACAGAGACATGTCTTCATTCATACAGGTACTGCTTGACTTCAAATTTGTCTTTTCTACTATATAAAGAGTTGTTTCCTTATGTTAAAAATGTTTTCAGCTCTATGCGAATTTCATTTTTAAGAGTGTAGCTAACTTGGCATCTAAGCTTAGAGATTCCATGCACCAAAGTGTCAAAAGAACACCAAAAAAAAAATAAAAATCAACATATGTTTAATAAAATGAAGACCTAACTGTTTACAAGGTTTCTTTTCTTTCTTTATCAGAAAGTAATGGGTTGACTTGTAGCCTAAGTGCCAAAATTGACCCCTTTGTAAAATGTGCTCCGGCTGCTTATTTGCCTGATGAGGTATCTCTCTGGTTCGGAGAAGTGACAAAGGTACTTACCGTTCTCATAGCTTGCCAGTATCCTCAGTGCAGTCTTACGCCAGCATCGTGATTGATCTTGCTCATGAGGAAATTTACAGCCATTTCAGATCACTCTTCCGTGCTAGTCTTAATGTGACTCTTAGGATCATGGAAAGAATTCTGCAGTTCCGAAACTTAGTAAGGCTAACGTGTTTTTTGGTGTTAGAGTATTTTTGGAATTCGCTCAGATGCTGGTTTTTTGTTTTGTTTTTTTTTTAATAGCCATTTTGATATTCCTCAAAAGTAGTTATCAGAAACAACAGTGTGTAGTTATTAACTTATGGATGTGGAATTATATTGTTCAAGGTGAAAAACCATTTCAGTGCAGTCAGTGCGACATGCGTTTCATACAGAAGTACCTGCTACAGAGGCATGAGAAGATTCATACTGGTGAGTATAGTGCCTTGAGTATCTTTACTGGCGTGCTTAAAAACTGTTTCCCCACTCAGGCAAAGTTTCTGGTCCTAGCTATGCAGCCCAGAACCCTGTTGCAGTTTGTTTTAACAGATGTTGTAAAACTTTGAAAAATAAATCAGTTTTGTGCTTTCAACTTGTTCCACTTTTCTTTGGCTGTAAAGGGAGTATAAACAAACCCCAGTAAGCAAATCTGAAAGTAGCAGTAAATAAATGACCTGAGAGGAGCAAATCCTGAAGTTTGCGCATTCGCAAAAGTCAAGCTTTGTTAAGCAGTTCTATCTTCTGTCTTATCAAGTTAATTCAGACAGCGGGGACTTCCAAATTACATCTCAGTGTATTTATTTATTTATTTATTTTGGAATTTGATGGAAAAGTGCCAGGACTAAAACAGCCAAAATGCCTAACCCCAAAGGTATTGGTATCAGCTTTACTTTTTGCCCTTTTTTTTGAGGAAAGGTTTAATTCAGAACTGTTCTAATAGTAAGAGCCTTAGTTTAAAAATATGCGATATAGGTCAAATAAGACCTGAAGTTTTAAGTCAAAGAGAGTTAAAGTTTATTCATGTTTATTTTTTTTATCTTCTTGCACCACACAAAACCACATTCTTTAACAGGTTTGGCTTCGTTGGGTTTTTGGCATTTTGGTGCATGGCCTTTCAATCCCTCTTTAAATATTTTGTAATATGGTCCCTTTGGACTAGATGCCAATTTCTCAGCCTCTTTTTCAGAAAAGCAGAGCTGGTGAATGTGCACAGTGTTTCTTGGCTGTAGCATTTAAATGGATGCGAAAGCTACTAACACGCAGTGCAGTGTGTGCATGTGTAAGAGTTGAGAGGGAGAAAAAAAACTCCATGAAATGAATTTTCAGAGCAGTGTACAGGGAGTTACATGCACAAATGCCCTGTTGTTCATGGGATTTTTGTATCCTAGGTTGCCATGAGTCCAGACTAAGTAGGTTTCCTTCAGCCAGTCAGCCACAGAAGAGTCCTCCATTCTTCTGTCCGGTGTCTTTGTTCTGCTCCTAGTCTTTCCTCTGCCTCTGAATTGGTGAACCATGCTGCCTCCACTTTGTGTAGATACTATTCTTGAAAAGAATGCTCATTCACTCTCTTCCAGCTATCTGCCCACCCCCCGAAAAAAAGGCACAAATTTAAGAGCAGTCTCCGCATTTTTCAGAAGTGTGGGGTTGGTTTTTTTGGTGGGGGTTTTTTATTTATTTTTTTAAATGAGAATTATTCCCTGTACGTGGCTTTGAAAATGAGAGTCCGGGCAATATAGCTAATTAACACTTGACTGCAAATATTTTATAAGTGGATTTAATTATTTTTTTAAAAAATTCAGTTGCTAGCTTTAGTGAGAATTCTATGTAAGCTTTGTGGGGAGTGTGTGATGGTGGTGGGGTTGCGGGTTTTTTGCCACATCTGACATATACTAGTCTTTCTTTAGCAGAGAAAAAAGTTGCCATTTAACAAATTAACCGTATCTGACTTTTTTAGATAACTATGTTTTCCTTCTTTCTCAGCACCCTGAGGTATAGTTTGGTTGTTTCTCAGACAACCGAAGATGATGCTTGTGTTTAAGTTGTTGAACTGTGGGTGTTATCCTTGGGTGACAACTTTCAGGTGGTTAGGAGAAAGCATAGAACACCCAGTTTCCTGGAGTAGAAAAAGCTGGTTTTGAAGTCTCTTTAGTTAGCAAGTATTTGATTAGTGCTTGATTTTTGGCTTGGCCCAATTATAGTGTAGCTAAATGGCCTCGTACCTACCGGTGTGTGCTTTCACTTTTGCGTGACGACGCTCACTACCGGGCCAAAGCCGCTTGGGCAGTGTTACGGGGTTCTTCAGGCCAGAAAAGCTCAATTTGCAGCTTGCTTCTCTCACTAGAAGGTGAGCAGAGGGTCTGTGTTGCACTTGGATGGAAGTAAAGGAGATTGTTCATACTCTTTTAAGTGTTCCTTATGAATTCGATACTTAATATTTTCTTCTTATTTTGCATTTTTATCTCTCCAAAGGACTGCTTTTAGCATAAGCTTTTGTGCAGTGTTCAAAACACTGATGAAGAACAGGATGTTTCTTGCCTTTAAAGATGTTTATCAAATTTTCCAGTTTATTTTAAGCAAATCGAAGACAGTGGTAACACTTAGAAGCCCCATTTTATGCCTGTTGCAAGCCCTGAATTTACAGGTGCTCCAGCTAGTTCCAGTGTGATTTGAACTTGGTTCTCTGAACCACTCCTCCAAATGAAATGTTATGAGGGAGTTAGGAAGCAATCAATGAACAGCCTTATTCCGTGTAAATAATTAAATAGTTGCATCTAAAAGCAGACATTGCATTAATACAAAATTCACTTACTAGAAATAGTTGTATGCAGCGGAGGGCAGCAGTGCTAGAACCCTGCTGCTAGACTCATCACTAATGATACAGAAAAATCATTGTTTTGGTTCCAAGAGAGGGAAGAGTCGTTGGTACACAAATACTTTCCTGGTTTTAGTTTACTAGGCTCACAAAGATGATTTTTTTTCTTTCTCAGATATGTCTGCTTTTTTTGCTGAGAGATGTTTCTATACACTTTACCCACTCATGCATTCATATGTCCTAATTCTGTAACCCACCCTAATTTCCATTTTAAACAGAAAAAATGAGTTTACATTTAAAAACAAATAAAGCAACATTGGGGCTAACAATTCAAGTGCCTTATTATTCAGTTACTCTGCTTTTTTATTGCCACCTTTGATATTTTATAATTTATATTTTGTCTGTTTAGATTTTAAAATGACTGGGGGTTTATAATTGTTACAGCCTTCATTTGTAGTGCACTTTATAAATAGTTCTATTGCTCAGTTTTATTAATTTTCAGTATAGACGCAAAACATGGGCTGTTTTGTAAATAATTCATACAATTTTTGTATTGTATTTTTAGATTTTGACTTTTTTTCCTACGTCTGATTCTTTCCCATTCGCCAAGACAGTTTAGAAAAATATGTCCTGGATTCTCCCTACATTAGCAAAAGGTTAAAAATGATCTCCACTTGCGAGAGCTCCTGTTTGAAAAGTACAATAAAATTGAAGAAGGCACCTGAAGTTTCAGGCTTCTGCTAGGAAGAAATTATTATAGGAAGCATATCTTCATATTAATTTTTAATCTTTTTCTAACATTATCTTCCTTATGAAGATTAAAGCAAAAATTAAGTATGGTATCAGTTTCACAAAGCCTTTCATAACCTTTCTTCCAGAGCTTTCTGGAATTCTAACGTTTTCTGTGTTGTGCTGAGTAATTGAAGGGCAGTGTCTCCAAACTTTTCTGCCTGGCAAGGCACGGCCAGCAGTGCCTTTGTGCGTACTTTCACAGTCTCCAGCATAGCTGCTGGTGGTAATAACCGACCACAAAAACCTCAGAACCCCTGCTTAGGTCTGGAAATGGGAATAGGGAGCTGGGAGGGTCTTCTGGCAGCAAATAGCCAGCTCGGGGAAGGAACTCTGTGACCATTGATTTACAGAAATGGGCAGAAGGCTGGAGGTGTGTCAGCCAAGTGTTCTGCATTCCCCAGGGCAGCAGGATGGCTCCTCAGAGGGCCGCTCACAGCTAAAACAAGACTGAGCTGTTGTGCTTCCCTGATTTGGTTTGGCTCATGGAAGGCTCAGGATAGTTTTCATCCTAAAACAACTGCTCCTTCCTCTTAAAAAAAAATAATAAATTAAGATAGTGTGAAAGCAAACTTCCAAACAACATAAGGAGAGTTATTTGAAGGGGTAACTTAAACACAGAACAGAATAGTGGAGCAAAGGAAAAGAAAACAGTAAGTAACAAGGATTAAGTAGTTGTATTTGGGAATGGAAGAGTTCCCATATATTAATCGAGTGATGAAACTTAAGCGTCTTGCCTCATCGTCCTCTTTGAAAATGAAGACAAGGATTGGAATTTGATTCAGAAAACCTCAACAGGTGTGGTCAAAGTAAAACAGCGTAGTAGCAAGGGTACGTAACGAATCAAGAGAACATGAAGAATGAAACCGGAGTTTGAAGGTTCAGAAATAGGCCAGAGGGGAGGATAGTACAGATGATATGGGAGTTTATATCTAAGTGTGAACTTATGTAGGGTGCTGAAAAAAAGCAAAAGTTTATGGTGGTTTTTAATAAGCAAGGAGTGATGAAAGTTAGAGTCTGACTAAATGTGAAAACGAGTGGGGATGCTGAGGTTGTGAGCCTGTGGAAAAAGAACTGATGCAAGCTGAGAGATCTTAGGGAGGGGAGATAATTTGATTTAGGAGACAACAAGTTGGAATAATTTTATCCAGGAAAGGAATTGGCTGGGAAGCCACATGGAGAGGTAAGAATTAATAATTGTGTGGAATTAAGAAGGTTGAAACTCTGGGCATTAATGATCAGACTTAGGAGCAAATGTGTGGGTGACAGAGATACTTTCCATTCTAGTTTCTATAAATACTGACATTTTAAGGTACTGTATTTCATTTGTAGAAGGATGTGGTTAAATAGCTATATTCTAAATGCAAAATACACACTCTCCAAATTTTAAATAATGAAACTTTTTTATTGTCATTTTAATAATTAACTATTAGTAATGATTTAATAAAATCAGTTAATAAACTACTTTCTAAGAATAAAACTACCTCAGAAGTAGAAGTAGCCTGCATATTCCTGGAAACAAGAGATAGATGGTTTATATCCCCAAAATCAGTGCAGTACCGTATCCAGAACAAAGAGGATGTTGACAGATGCTGCCAAGACAATCTCTGATCTCTATGTGAGTTCAAAAGATTGCATAGTAAATATTAAGAGGAACTATTACTGTTGTCCAGGGTGAGTTCTAATAAATAATAGTGAACTTTTGTAAAACCAAAATGAACTTTTCAATGTACTTGGAATTTTTAGGTTTTGTCAGAGAAACCTTTAAAATAAAAATATCCCAGGGAAGATGTAAAGCCAAAGTTAAAAGAAATAAAAATAGAATTACTCCATGTTCTGAAAGAATCATTGCAGGGCTTCTTTGTGAGAAAGTGTAATGGGAGAACTGCAGATGAATTCAGGGCAATGAATATTGTCTGAACAAATATTTCATGAAAGTAAAAAACCAAACCAAAAAAAAAACACCCCAAACCCCCAACAAATCCAAACCAAACCAACAAAACAACCAAACAGGAAAACCTGTAAGTATGCAGACACCAGTTCAGCTACAGAGGTTTCTTAACTTTCTTAATTTTTTAAAATTAATTGGATTCCAACCAAAACAGTAGGATTAGTTTTTCTTCAGGTCAGTTATTTCAATTCTGCTTACAGATAAGGGAAACAAATATGGAAAATACAGAGCACCCTACAAAAATGTTAAATTAAAAGCTTGAAAATGCATAATTCTCTTCAAGAAGGGATGAGTTTGAGTTACTGAGTTGGTGAGAGAACTGAGGTATTTTTACACAATTGTCTGCCCTAATAAAATGTATTATGTAGCAGCAGTTCAGGAAGGTGAACTTTGCAGTTCTTCATTTGTTAGATTTAAGACAAGTATCTGCACCTACATTAGAAAGAGAAGATAAGAATTTAGTTTTGAAGGTGGTTGAGGTTTTTTTAGTGTAAAAGCTTAAAATAATTTTGAAGCATCAGCTACTGAGTACTGGGAGAGGAGCGATGTGAGTTAAGCTGTGTTTTGTTTTTCAATAGCAACAAACTAAATTCTCCTCTTTATTACTTCTAATAGAGAATGTAGTATTTGACCTGGTAATTGTAGGGAAGAAAGTTGATTTATTTTCTTTTAGATTCACATTGCTACATGTTGTTTGTATTTTTTAATCAGGTGAAAAGCCATTTCGTTGTGATGAATGTGGTATGAGGTTTATTCAGAAGTATCATATGGAAAGGCATAAAAGAACTCACAGTGGAGAGAAGCCTTACCAGTGTGAATATTGTTTGCAGGTAAGATGACTGAGTGAAATCTTTTGCAAGTGGGAAAGAAAACACCAGTCAATTCCCAATTAGTTCAGAGAGGATTTTCTCCAGGTGTTGTAGTCATATACATACAGATAAATACATCATGAATGTTTTTTTGTTAAGTTGGGTTGTCTTGGTGCACAGGTGGAGTAGAGTCACCACTGTCTGTGCTTGATTTTATTGATTATATCCTGTTGTTTGACACTTCATTGGAAATCAGTAAAGTGGAAAAATTGTCGAGTAAATTTGTTAGAACGAAAGGTTTCTTTTCTTTCTATTAATATACTTATTCTCCAATAATAATAATAGTAATAATAATAACAATAACAATAATAATACAAATCTTTTGCAGTATTTCTCCAGGACTGATCGTGTGCTGAAACATAAACGTATGTGCCATGAGAACCGCGACAAGAAACCGAACAGAAGTGCCACCAAAGTTGGCTTCTTGCCATCGGAGGAAGATTCTGGTTTCTCTGCGCCTATGAAAGACAGCTCCTTGCCAAAGAAAAAAAGGCAGAAAACAGAGAAAATGAAATCGGGGGATAAGGAAAGTACAGATAAGTCGGAACAGAAGAAAGACAAAAATGACTATTTGCCTTTGTACACTTCTAGTACTAAAGTAAAAGACGAATATATGGTAGCGGAATATGCTGTTGAGATGCCACATTCTTCGGTCAGCGGAACGCACTTAGAAGAAGCAAATTCTGGAGAAATACACCCTCCTAAGCTCGTTCTTAAAAAAGTTAACAGCAAGAGAAGTATGAAACAGCCACTTGAGCAAAGTCAAACCATTTCACCTTTATCTACGTACGAAGACAACAAGGTTTCAAAGTATGCCTTCGATCTCGTGGATAAGCAAAGTTTACTGGACTCTGAAGGTAATGCTGACATTGATCAGGTTGACACGTTACAGGAAGGGCCCAGTAAACCTGTGCACAGCAGCACTAATTACGATGATGCAATGCAGTTTTTAAAGAAAAAGCGGTATCTGCAAGCATCTAGTAATAACAGTAGAGAATATGCCTTGAATGTAAGTACCATAGCATCTCAGCCTTCAGTAACACAGGCAGCTGTGGCCAGCGTCATCGATGAAACTGCTACGGCCTCGATATTAGACACACAGGGACTGAATGTTGAAATTAAAGGTAACCACGACAAAAATGTCATTCCAGATGAGGTACTGCAAACTCTGTTAGATCATTATTCACACAAGGCTAACGGACAACATGAGATATCTTTTAGTGTGGCTGACACTGAGGTGACCTCCAGTATATCAATCAATTCTTCAGAAGTGTCTGAGGTCACCCAGTCTGAGACAGTTGGCACAAGCTCTCAAGCTTCCTCATCGGATAAAGCTAGTATGTTACAAGAATATTCAAAGTTTTTGCAACAAGCTTTGGACAGAACTAGCCAAAATGATGCCTATTTGAACAACCCGAGCCTTAATTTTGTGACTGATAACCAGACTCTTACAACCCAGCCAGCATTTCCTTCCATGGAGAAGGTCTACACGTCTATACCCGTCAATAGCTTTCGATCGGGAATGAACTCTCCGTTAAGAACGACTCCCGACAAGTCTCATTTTGGACTAATGGTTGGTGATTCGCAGCACCCTTTTCCCTTTTCAGGTGACGAAGCAAATCATTCTTCTTCCTCCTCTACACAGGACTTCTTGGATCAAGTAACTTCTCAGAAGAAAGCAGAGGCGCAGCCTGTTCATCAAGCATATCAGATTAGCTCCTTTGAGCAGCCCTTTAGAGCTCAGTACCATGGGGCAAGACCTGGAATATCATCTCAGTTTAGCACTGCCAATGGACAGGTGAACCTTCGGGGACCAGGGACAAGTGCTGATTTCCCAGAGTTTCCTTTGGTGAATGTAAACGATAGCAGAGCTGGGATGACTTCTTCACCTGATGCCACAACGGGCCAGACTTTTGGCTAAGAAATCTTTGTAAATAATACTGGCACTTTAGAACACATTTGTTGAAAGGGGGTTGCTCTGTATAAGATTGAGTTCTGTACAGCTTTTAAGAGCGCTATGTTAAAACAAAAGTAAGCTGATATTAGCAAGACCAATAACTGCTTCTTTCTTATTTTATTTTTTTTTGGTTAGTCATCAGTCATGGAACTGCCTGCTGTTGGTGCCCCTATCAAAGGCAGTTTATTATTCACTTGTTTGAATCCAGAAAATACTTTACCTTCTATGAAATTTAAAATAAAATCCCCAGGTAAGACTTTCCCCCATGATTATTTCCTTACTGGTTTCCTTCTATGCTTTGGGAGGACAGTTTATTGTCTGATACTGTTCATATTGTCATTTCCAAGCTTGTCAACATAGTCATTGCTTTTCAGCAGGGAATCAACATGTGCTAAACACTCAGAATAAACAGTTCCAAAGCCAGGCAAATCTGGCTTTAAAAGATGGCATTTTCTAGAAAAATAATCTTTCTTCCATCTCTCTCAAAAAATGATTTTAGACCATGTGCCCTTTATTTCTGCTTTGCAATACTTTGAATTGTGTTTGGAGGAAAAAATGAATTCTGATAGACTAACTCTACTATTTAAAAGTCTAATTAATTTAAAATACTTTAAACACTTTTTTAAGCAAAATGCCTAACTGCTAAAGCCTTTACTTCGTTCCTGAAGTAATGTGTATTTCTTTGTACAGCTGAATCTAGATGTAACTTTTTAAAGACTTTTTCATACGCAGATACCAAGATTTTGAAGTTTTAGTTAAAATACTCTGTAGATGACATTCCCAGTTGCATAATGCTTACACAAACTGTGTATTCCAAGATTTAAAAGCTTAATTGTACCTTGCCCTTACATACTCATAATGATTAACATAGAGCACTTAGTCAACTTGGTATTTTTTAATTTCTCAGAAAATAAAACCGTTTTTAGATTTTTAGGTTGGATACGGTTGCATCATTTTCATCTCATAATAATTCTTTTAAATATCCTTGAGATTGGGTATTCTTAGCTTCTGTAAAAACCGTTTTAATTCTCTGTCCAGAATTTTTGACAATTCAGATCATTAAATTTATTGAAGTATCCCTGAAAGCTGAAGAAGTGGGCATTCAAATTCCCTTTTTAGTGTTTGCTTAGTGAAAGTCATTACAATTTTACCAACCAAAACCGCTGAATAATGCTAGTGAACAGGATTTCTTTTTTCCAGCATAAGCGAGTGAGCAGAAGTTTTCGTTGCATTTCACAGTATAAATAAACTACAAAGTTTATCCCTGTACCACAAATACGTTTTTTTAATAGTACTTTGTCTTGAAGTATACAGTATGGTACGATAAGTAGTTCTGTGTGCATTTTTAAGGTGGTAAGATTTGAGTAGCATAACTATTGTGTAGTTAAGTTAACAGGTTACAGATTTTTGAACTGTATGTTCATTCTATTGCACCTTCCCTAAAGGGACACTGTCTGGTAGTTTAAGGCAGTTTAAGCCTAGTGTAGGCTGATTAACCAGGGAAAACCACACACACACACACACACGCATGTACGTGTATATATGTAAGTATGTATGTATATGGTGTTTTCTAAAAAAAAAAAATAAAAATAGGATTACATACATCCTTTTACAGCACTGTTGCTGGCTGGTGTATCTCAGATGAAGCCATCAGGTAGGAGAAAAGGCAGTGTCTCAAGGAGCTAAAATATACCCTGTCTTTGGAGAAAGGACTTGAGCAAGACAGTTGGAGTTGGCAGTTCTCAGCTCTCCCCAAAGCAGTAGCAATACCTTTCTTAATTTTCATTACTAGGAAACGGAACCGACTTGATTGATTTTTCCCTTCTGGTAGCATTATTACAGCTCTTCACTTGGTACTGCTGAGGGAGAAAGTGCATTTTTTTTTTTTATCCATAGCTTGCTTCTTATATTGACAATAAAAGCAATTTATGTAAACTTCTTACTTGATACTTTTGTATAAGAAAACAGGTTCTGTTTTGATTTATTGACCCTGTGTATAATGTAGGGAGGTGTTTCAGCGTGCTATGACTTGTCAGTAATGCTGTCTGAATATTTGGCCCTGAGTTAAGAAGATTGAGCATCAAGGGAGAAAAGTAAATTCCTTATGGATTATTGATGATGCATGTAAAGAAACTTATTTGAAAGAATATTTTGAAACAAATTCACGCCTCTGTTTTTCTTCCTTTATGGTCAGCCTGATTTTTTGACTTTCCGTAATTCCATAATGCATATGGCCTAGGAAGCCACCACTTGTGACACACATTTCATTTTCAGTGTTTCATTTCCATGACATCCCAGCTTGTGCTGCCTGAATAATACTGTGTTGGCATCTTTGTTCTAAAGTTCTGTTACTGCAAGATGATGACCATTAATAGTACTGTTTGTTAAATACAACAGGCTGGGTTACTAGTGCGCTTACCTAGGGAGGTAAGAAGAATAAAGCCTCCCTCTCCCTAAGGAGATTGACTCAGCTTTATTTTAAAAAGTTGCGGCACTGATACTCTGCCGTGAGGAGGGAGTACCTCTCGCTGCGTCCCATCGTCACACTTGGGAATCGCTGCTTGGGTGCGTGAAAGAGCCAGCTAGTGTGCAGAGAGAAGGAGCTCGTTCTTCCCTGGAGCAGAGTGGGAAGGAATCATCTGAGGATCTGTTATTGCTTGTGTTGCAGCTCCTTCCCTAGCCTGCTGCTGAGCCATTCCAGAGTTACCCTGTGCCTTAGGAAAGGTGGTGAGCTCCCCACCTCGCCTGCAGGGACATCTTGTAGGGTGCTTCCACGTGTCCAATTAGAGCGGTGCTTTTTTTAATTGATCTGCTGACGCATGAAGCTTTCTGTGCTGGAGGAGTTACTGAACACACTGCTACGATTTCCTGAGTACACACCCTTTTCTTCTGGAGTAAGTGTCGATGTAGTTCAGGGAGGTTTAACTACGTAAAAACTTTCACTTGTTTAATTATTAACGTTATTTAATAACATAAATTAATAACACTGCTTGTGTTTTGCCCCTTTTAATCTACAGATGCACGCTCTTCATTTCGATCTGGTCGGTGTTACATTTTTGCTAGTTTCCCATGTGTGTCTGGAAAAAAAGCAACTTTGGTTTTCTGTTCTGTTCTTGTACTGACAGCACTCAAGTCTGTTGGCGGGAGGCTGGGGTGAGCACTTTTATTCCACAAAGCGAACAACAGGCGTTCTTACGTAAAGGTCATGCAAGCACTGAGAGTGAGTGTGTGTGTGTGTGTGTGTGTGTGTGTGTGTGAGGTGGAATTTTTTGGGGATATCTCCTAGTGATAGAGCAATGATGACTTTGAAGAAGAGGAAATTCATGACATTTATTACCAAACTATATATATACATGGTATATGTATATATATATATACGCACATATTTCGGTCCTAAATTACTTGACAGTGTCCCTTTTAGCATGAATACTTTGATATGTTTTACCATTCATATAGCAGACAATGAAGGAATCGGCTTGTATTGGTATACTAATAGGCATTTACATTTTCTTCATTTGATTTGAGAATGAATTAATCGTAAATTACAAGGTTTGGGGAGAAGGATTAACCTTGTGTATTACTGTATGTTGGTTTACGAATAGCAACATAAACAATTTAAATTGGATGATAAAAAACTATGTTTATGATCTTGTGTCTCCTAGTGTCGTCTTTAGGAAAATTGTGTTTCAAGAAGAAAATAGGACAAGAAAGCATTCATGTGAAATAACACTTCTGTTATTTTTATATTGTACTTGTCATTTTTTTGGATGATGGGAGCTTTTCATTGTTAATTGAGAAGTACAGTAAAATCTTGCTAATTCGCTGAGCACTAATCAAAGCATCCAATAGGTTTATACGTCCCCGATGGTCTTTTCCCCACCTCTCTGCAATGGTCTAAAAAGTACTGTGGTGAGGTCTCCCATTAGTAAAACTGTACTACTTCACCCAAGTATACTACAGAATCTATACGAGTATACTGGGAGGTACAAGAAGTATTGAAAACCAAATTGCAGTTGTCAAAATAAATGAACAGAGTACATTTTGCGATGTGACATTCTTGCTTTTATTGCCTGCTTCTTCACTATTTTCAAAATTGTCATTTGTAAAGGGTTTCTAAGGCACTACTGCGAATTATTGGGGTTCTACTGTTCTACTTTTGGAGTTTATTCTAAAAGTATTCATGTTCTCCTCTGACAGCGTTCCATTTGGACAGATACATTATAGTCCATGCTTGTTCATAGTATTTTTTACAGTATCTGTATCCTATGTAGTAATTATTTGAAATGAACCAGAATATTTGGATGAATCCACTCTGAATTTTGCAGCATTGGGTTACTTCATGTACGTGCATTTGCCAACTAAATTTTCTTGGTTTTGAGAGCTTTGATTTTTATCCCTCCTCTTTTGCTTAGTTTTAATGCCATTGCAAATTGCAAGGAAAAGCCTAATACTCCTGGGAATCCCGTTTTGGAAATTTTAACAGGCAGAAATATGCTTCTGCAGTCGGTACCAGTACACGTGAGCTTTCAAACTAGGTGGTTGGTACTGAAGCAAATGAACGATGTTACAGTTTCCTAGTGTTAAATGTTTTGCTAAAATGAAGCCTTGTAACTTGGACAGTTCGTTCAGCTGATAGTAATGCATGTTTCTGTTAGGCATGTAATGCATTTAGCTAAAACTCACTTTGCAAAGGACGAGTACTAAGAAAGTATTACTGCTAATGAAAAGAAATGTCTTTTCAGTTAAAATTTAGACTTTTTATGGTTTTAAATTGCTTTGTGTCAGAGAGATGAATTTATAGTCGCTTTTGCTCTACTCGACGTGTACAACCTTACGTTTCCTTTTTGGAATGACATCTTTTGGTAGGAAACACAAACTGAGGCAAGCAAACGTTTCTAAGAGTTGTTTCTTGCTTTCCTTAATCCAATGGATGGAAAGGTAATATTGTGTAAACAACATTATTTTATTTTTTTATGCAATATCATGCTGTAAATATGATTTATCAAATAAGGATGTACCTATGATTGAATCTTTGATTCTACACAGCTAGAGTTTATATATAAATATAAATGTGTCTTGACAATCAAGGACTTATGTCAGTCTTCCTTTAATGACGTTTCTTATTGTTATGCATTCCATTTGTTTGACTTGAGTATTTGTATTGTCTGTAAAGTATGTAATGTTTTTATAGCCTGTTTAAAAAGCAAACAAACAAAAAGCCTGTAAATACCTACGGACTGATCAGAGTACCGCTCTGTTAGAAGGCATATGATGACGTACTGTTTGTAAGCAATAATACACAACAGTGCTAACTTTACAAGTAGCATAAGGATAAGTTCCAAAAATACCTTTGGGAGTTAATAGCCTTGAGTTCATGAGTATTCTTAATCATTTTTTTATAAATAAATTCAGATGTCCTCCTGCTGGAGTGTATAACATTGTTTACACAGCACAATTTCAGTCACAGAGGGGACAGTCTTTAGGTGTATGGCTTCGTCCCTACACACTTTGGGTGAGACAGGAATGGCTTGGCTGCGCTTCTGCAAGACGAGGAAGACTGCAAAAGTTGAATAGCTGTGTCTCTAAAGGATGAGATACTATTCTGCTTCTGTGCTGATTCCTGACAATTCTACTTAAATTTGGAGTCTTTAAGTCCTGATTTTGAACTGATGCGACTTGGGCCTCCCATAGAAAGGAGTAGTTCTCTTCTTATTTCATATGCAGATAAACAGTGAACTTACAAGTCACCTCTTCCTTTGAGTTGCATATTTTTCAAATTACGAGATGTGATGAGATGGGTTTATTCCAATGAATAAATGTCAAACTTATAGTTTGAATTGAATAGGTATTAGACTGTACAGAGCAGCATAACTATTTGAACAGTCATCACTGCTTTAG